ACCTTTTGTAAAAGGCTTATCTTTGCCTTAAGCAAGCTCTGTCTATAGTTTCAGTGCATCCAAGTTAAAACATCTTGGAAATAGCCCCTTCAAGAGAACACATTCTTAACTATCCCATAATCTGAGCCCTGTCTTGCTTTCTTTCATGTAATCTATTTTACTACCCTCCTTAATCTCAAAGGCATAAAAGAAACTGCAAAATGTTACTGTCTGAAGCATTTTTCTCAGTCTGTTGAGGTCTTGCTTCCAGGAGTATCCTTTGTTTGACTCAAATAAATTTTAATAAAATTAAGAATAGTGGAGTATAAGAAATTTGCTTGAGTAGGTTTTTATGTTCTTACATGGACAAATGGAATATTATTTGGCCATAAAAAGGAATGAAGTATCGATAATTGCTACAATATGGATAAACCTTAAAAATATCACATTAAGTGAAAGAAGCCAGTCACAAAAGACCACATATTATGTACTTGTACAATATGAATTTAAATTAGAGACAGAAGGTAGACTGGTGGTTACTCAGGGCTGGGGAGAATAGGTAAATAGAGAAGGGAGTGATAGCTATGAGGTTTCTTTCTGAATTAATGAAAATATTCCAAAATTGACTGTGGTGATGGTTACATATATCTGTGACTATAATAAAAATCTGAATTGTAGATTTTAAATGGGTGTACTATATAGTGTGAATTGTATCTTGATGTTGTTAAAAAAAAAAAGACTCTCAGATAACTTGGTCAAAAAATAGACTCTTCAGGAAGATAATCACCCATATACAGATTCTGCAAGGTGGTGGATACATTATGGTGGTCAGACTAGATGTTTTAATATTCCTTTCCAACCCAAGGTTTTGGGGTGTATCTTTACTTAAAATAGCAAAATGTCAGAGAAGCAGTAAAGCAAGATGGCTCAACATACAGGGAATGAGACAAGCTGTATTCAAAACCAGCCTCCATTACTTGCTAGCTGTGTGACCTCAGGAAAATAAATCAACTTTCCATGCTTCAGCTTTCTCATTGGTAAAATAGAAATACGTATCCTGTGGTATTGCTGTGAGGACTGAAGAGAATGCGTATCAACTGATTAGTACACTGCCTGACACAAAGTACTCAATAAACACAAGTTACTACTAAATAATCATCACTACAAAGCTGGAGGCAATAATATTAAAATAATAAACTGCAACCTTATTAGTCAACTATTAAGAATCTAGTCCAACCTCTTTTTTATGGCTCAAATAACTGAACCTTGGAAGGGTTAAATAACTGGAACAATTTAAAGAATATGCCAGTAACAGAGGCAGAACTAGAACTCAGATCTGCTGTCCAGGCTGACCTCTAATTTGCTTTGGGGTGCGTTACACTTCAGAGGACAGCCACCCATTTTCCCTAGTGTACTGTGAGGACAGAGACCCACTGAATGCCCCAATTCTGAAGTGATGGTTAACAAAAAAACGTGTAGACAAACACAACGTAAATATGTGTGGTGGTATATTTAACATCAAGAGTATCAGAGTAGTGGAGTACAAGAAATTTTCTTGAATATGCTGCTGCTGCTGCTGAAGAGGAAAAGTGTGTTTCCAAGGAGACAGGGCAGCACTCGCATCTACTAGGGTAACGTGGAGCTGAAGTGATGAAAAACCAAGAATACGGACATACGCTACATCGATATTGGATAAAATAAACGGTTTAAGACTAAGCCAGGCTAGCCTAAAGGATAACTCAACTCAGTAGGAAAAAACAGGAATATGGTCAGTTTCAGGGTCCTGATCTTAACTAAGGTCACTCTGACATAACCCTGGCCTGGAAAGGCCTAATTTGAGTTGCACTGGGTAATAAGTAACATGGTACCAAGTTCACCCCAAAGCAACATAAATCTTCAAAAGCTGGAAAGGAAAAAAAAGGACAAAGAATATAGGATATTTTGATTATTCTGGGCCATCAGTTTAAGAAAGAATAATCAATTTGCTGATGTTGTAAGACCCAAGACATTTCACTACCAAACCTGAACACTGCTCTGACAGCTCAACTTCAAAGTTTTGCTTTTACAGTTGAATACTGTATATATGTAATTGGGAGCAACTTCCTGGCCCTTTTTTCTTTAAAAATCTTTCTTTTTTTTAATTTCACTCAGCATAATTATTCTGAGAATCATTCAAATTGCTGCATGTGTCAATTGTTCATTCCTTTTCATTGCCGAGTTGTATTCTATTGTATGGATATACCACGATGCTTATCCATTCACCTACTGACGGACATCTGGGTTGTTCCGGCTTGGGGCTGTTACAAATAAAGCTGCTATCTACAGGGCCTTGTATGGACATATGCTTTCATTTCCTCGGGTAAATACCAAGGAGTGGAATGACTGAGACTCAGGTAGGTGCATGTTTAGATTTTTGAGACTGCCAACTGCTTTCTAAACTAGATGTACCATTTTGTGTTCTCACTGGCAGTGCATGAAAGTTCTACAACTTCACCAACACTAGACAAAATCAGTATTTTCATTTTAGACATACTAATGGATGTGAGGTAGTATCTCATAGTTTTAATTTGCATTTCCTTAATGATCAATGATATTGGGCATCTTTTCAGATACTAATTTTCCATCTGTACATCTTCTTTGGTGAACTGTTCAAACCTTTTTCCTTTTTTTAAATTAAATTTTGTTCCTAGCCATTTTTTTAAAAGTCAAGTTTCTTCCCCCAATGACTAAGCAGTCTTATTTAAAATGAAAAAGCAATACTACAGAACTGTACTTAAAAATGGTTAATATGCAAAATAATGAGGACACTACTTCCAAAAAAAAAAAAGAAAAAAAAGAAAGAAAAGATGAGAGAGCATTTTGTCACTAAGGCACAAAATTTATGAAACAGATTTCTTTGTTCAACTCACCACAAACTTGAAACAATCCTAATTGTGCAAAGAAAAATCACTAGAACATGAAAGAAAAAAACCAATGACCACAACCACAACTCTGACCTCAGAACTGAATGTCAGCGACATGAAACACTCACTCTTTCTGTGCAGCTGACAGTGATTTTGTGCTGTCCAACATGGCAGCCACTAACCACATGTGATTCCTGAGCACTTGAAATGTGGCTAGTCTGAACTGCAATGTGCTATAAAGTGCACCCTGGATTTCAACAACTTAGGATGAAAAAAATGAATGTAAAGTCCTCATTAATAATGTATACGTATTGAAGTGATAGTCTGGATAATTTCGGATCAATAAAATGTATTTTTAAAAAATATTATCTGTATATTGTATTGTGTATTCTAAAAACTGTTTTCAACGGTTTCTTTTTACCTTTTTTAAAAGTGGCTATTATTTTATACTTGGCTTATATTTCTACTGTCTAGCACTGATCAAATACTTTTAAAGCAGACCCTGAAAATAATGTACCTCCAACTGGTAAGAAAAATATATACACATATAGTATCTTTTTCCCTCCCCATGCCTCCAAAGTGTGACTGAAATGGTGCAATGGAAGAGATTTCCACCTGGAACTCAGGAGCTGTCTTAGGCTTGAGCCATAGCTGTTACTATCTGATCTATGAGTCATTCAGCTTCCCTAGATTTAAGTTTCCTCATCAGTTTTTGTTTTTCATTCAAAAAGTCAACAGAAATGTATTATGCTCCTACTTTTTACAAAGCATTATTCTATTAGTGTAATCTTGAGCTTAGTTTAATAAGAGGTACAGTCCAAACATACTAACAACTATTATACAAAGACAAAATTTAAAAAAAGCCCCCTGAAATGGAGACAGGCCAGTGATTATGTGGCATGTGCATATACATGTATACGTGTTTTAAAAGAGAAAGAATACCTTAAAGGAGCTAGGAAACACTCCAATAACTTGTAACTTTCCTAACTCTAAAATTCTGCGCTCTTACAAAGCATTCATCATGCTCTAGCAAGCATTACTGTGTGACATAGCGACACATGGAATTGATGATATTTGGTCAAGTCCTCCCCTTAAGCATAATGAAACAAGATGTAAATGACATACCACAATGAGGCTCTTTTATACTTGAAGAGACAATTCTGCAGTACAGTTCGACCTTAAATCTCCAGCTTCTATCTCCAGAAAGTATGAGATTTTTCAAATAACAGGTAACCATTTGTGATGTGCATACAGATGAGAGAAATGGTTTTCTTTAGCAAAAACAGCAAGCTAGACTAGAATCGTGATAGAGTAACCACAGCACTCTTTCCATAAACACAAAACACATAAATGCCATAAACACAAAACAACCACACAACATACAATCTCCCCCCACCTCTTTGTCTTCAGGGGTGATGACTGTCCAAAATACCCAGATTGCTGCTATTTCAGTGCTACTGCTGTAAACTGGATGTGTGTGATAACTACTGTTACTTTGATCATCAACTCACAAAAGTCTGCCATGAAAAAACTTTATAGACAATTAAGTCATGTTATATAAACTGAACTCAAAGAGCTCTGTATACAAATATTCCTTTGGTGTCAGCATTCCTTGGACGTAGAATATCCCTGCATTAAGGGTAAGAAAACTGAGACACAAGAACAAATACTGAATTTACCTGTATTTCTTTAGATAAATTTAATTGCATAAGTGTGCTAAGAAATTATACCATGGTTTTGTTAAAAAGGAGAAAAGGAAAAAAAAAAGCCTAACCCTTGATTGATCCACCCCAGGATTCTTATCTGTTAATGGCAAGAATGTTTTATGGGAGAGTGCTACTGTTCTCCCTGCTATCAAAAGCAAAACCTCTGGGGTATACTCCAAATCATTCTGGTTTCCCTTCGCAACTATTCAATAGTTGTAAATAGTATCTAAATCTTTCAAAAGTTTGTTCTTATTCTCGGTCTGGTATTCTAGCTCTAGGGTTACAATTTTCTCATGTTTCCAAAAAAAATTATGATCAGACATTTGCTCCAAATGTAGTTTAAGAAATAACTTAAGGCATAGCCCCTAGTTATAGTATTTCAGAATTTGGTGGAAAAGTTTTTCATATTTACCCGTCCAATCCTTCACTGTGAGAACTTTCAGTCACAGACCTTCCACACATCTCTCTTTCCTGAAGACGACCTAAAGGCAAGCAGTATGGTACAGTGAAAAAAGGGAGCGTGGAGTTGGGAGATGTCTCCCCAGCCTCAGTGCATCTTCTTAATCCCTGTAGAGCTGGCCAAGTCACTGAGCCTCTCTGGACCTTGAGGGCTCACCAAAAATGAAAAAGTTAGACAAGATGACCTGGAAGTTCTCATCCAGATCTCAAAGACTTTGTTTTCACCTGCCCCCAGCAGCTTGACCATTTTACATACCCTTTTCTAGTCCTCCTTCAATGCTCTATGTGTTTCTTAGCTGAAGGACTTATAATAGTAGACTGTGTCCCAATAAAAGTACTTTATGACTTGATTTGATAGCAAGATCTTTATTTTGAATCTCAGGCTACTTTTGACATCAAGGATTTATCCCAGAGATATAGGGGAGCGGGGAATGGATGGGGACATGGACAGGACAGGCTTAGCCACACCGTAAGCGTTGAGGCTGGATGACAGATACCTGCTGATTCACTATTCATTCTATCTACTGCTGTATATCTGAAATTCTCCATACTACCAAGCTGGAAAGATCTGTCAAAAGTGAGAAAAGAATACTGAACTGGCATTATTAGAGGATTCTTTTCTACAGTCTTTGGCAGAAGGATAATTGCTTTTCACACCATTTCCCTTGGGTTGAGATAGAATCTACAAGACATGAAACTAAGCAGAGCTACTCAAAATCCAGCCAAAATGAAGGAAGAGGAACCAGAAAGAAAACTGTTCAACTGATCTCAAGGTTATCAATGAGAAGATCCATGGCACGGAGGGCATGGGCAGTGACAGGCACTAATATATGTAATAGTATGGAACTCACTTCCACAGAGCTATTACGTTTCGGATGGTCCATGTTCCTTAACTTTTCAACTGCGAAGGTGGAACAGAAAGTGAGGAAATAAACAAGACCCTCTGGTAGGAGGATGCCACGCAGGGTGTGAAGTCAAACCAGGAAGGCAAGGAATTTCGGGGGTAAAAAAAGGAAAACTGGGGCTCCTTAGAGAACAAGGGAGAACACACATCCCAAGGAAGCTGAAGGACACAGGAGAAGAAAGTGTGGGCGAAGGCATGTTCTCGTGATGTCTAACGCCCTCTTCAGCCTTACTAGCTGCACTCCTCAGCACTGGGGCAGAGAGCACGGGTGGGCCCGGGATTCACTGGGACTGCGGACTCCACCTCAAAGGGCCAGTTGGGGCCAGGGGAGCCCGGGAGGAGGGCGCCACGCCGCAGGGGCCTGGCTGCCTTCGCAGAGGCGCGGAAGGGGCGCGGACTGTTCCACTGCGGCAAAGGAGGCGGAATGCTGCGACCGGCCAGGCAACCCCATGAAGCGGCAATGGTGTCTCCCGACGGTGGCGCGGGACCGCATCCCAGGATCGCAGGCCCCTCACAGGGCACCAGCCCCGAACCCCACGCTCCACTGTCGGCTCCCTTGAGGCCAGTGACCTTCAGGAGGGAGCCGGCTGGGTCATACTCACCAACCTCGAGGATCCGAGACTCCAAATCCCTGCTGCGCCGGTCCCTCCTGCCGGGGCCTGCCGCTGCCTGCCCAGGCGTGCGTAAGGACGTGCGCGTGCCCGCCCTTTGTCTACGCCGTTTGACGTGACCCCTCGCGTTCATCCCCCACCCTCTCACCATCTAATCTCACGCCCCTCACTCTCACGCTGGCGCGCGCGCGCCTGGCTGTATTGGGCGGGGGCTTTTTGGGGCAGGGCTTTCTTGGGGTCCGGGTGGGACGGGGCTGGGGGTGGGGGGCAGTGCCGCGTCATCTGCCACTGGTGGGTGCACCCGAGGGCCGTGGAGTCGCCCCCTAGCGAGTGAGAGACTGCTGCCTGGGGTAGCCAGGTGCTATCCAGGTCGGGACTGTACCCCCTAGGCCCTGGTTGCCTGCCCCTCATTGTGGGTGTGCCCCGTAATTCCTGCTGTGATAAGCAGAGCGCTTTCTAAATAGGGGGTTCCACATTTTAGAGCTACACCAGGACCCGAGGACTGGCTGCTTCCCCAAGGTTCCGTAGTATAAATTCTGGGGAGGGTGTTATCAGCCCGGATTAACGAGAGGAGGCTTGAGTCGCTAAATTACCTTGTCATCATCATGTGAGATACAGTGTCGTGTGTAAAAAACTTAGCTCACGGTCTGGCACTCTCAAGAAATGTTAGCTGCCACCCCATCATTGCTGAGTCTCATCTGCCTTACTAGTGAAGCCAGGGAGTTCAAGGGGTTGGTGTACAAGATCCCTCGCTGCTGCATCCTTCCAAGGTCTCCCTAAATTTGGAACTGTTCTCTCTACTAAAATCTAGCTGGTGCCTCTGGAGTTTGCTGGTGAATTTCTCACCAACTCTTCAGATCCAAATGCCTAACCCAATCTTATCATCTCCCCTAAAATCGGTCTCACTTAAAAAGATTAGCCCTTCTTCCTGTTCTTAAAAGATGTTTTTTGCCTCCAGTACCAAGCTCTCCCTCCCTCCCACCCTGTTTGTTCTACATACTCTTGTCATATTGTTATTCCATGCTAAATAATCTGATAATAAATCTTGAGGGTAAAGTCCATCACATTCTTGGACCTCAAAGTCTGGCTATAAGTTTGATGAGTGCTCCAGGACACTGGACCACTCATCCTGACACTAACTGTTGTCACACCTATTTGGAATTTACCACATATTCCAGAACTCAATCATTTTTCAATTCATTTAACAAAACTTCATGAAGCCCTCGTTAGATGGCCATTTTTGCCAGCTTCTCAATGATACAAAGTTAAATAATGATGTCCAGAACTAGATTAAGAAGAAACTGGACATCATACATCTTTGTGTCCTTCCCAAAGCCAGGGAGAGGGTTTTAAACGTGGCCACCACCATCTTAAATATTCTTTTCGTTCTTATATCTGACTTTTTCTCCTCCAGAACCAGTCAAAACTTGCGAGTAATCCACCATCTGCTCTGCTCTCCTGTGTATTCATGTTTACATTTTCCACAGTCTTTACCATTGAGTATAGTTCTTTGTATATAATAATTTTAATATTAAAAAATATTTCACACATGTTAGAGATGCAACAAAAAATAGTGTTGATTGATTCTTTGCCCAGTGAAGTAGTGGACTGAGTTACTGGATACACACATACACAAGCGCGTGCGCGTGGGCGTATGCAAACATTCACTACTGGTACATTCTCTAAACTTCTTTAGCGCAGGAAGTCAATCAAACTTCCCTCTAAAGAGAAAACCAACAAGAACTCACTTGACTTCTGGCCAATATGGAAGCATAGGTAGTCACACTGTGCCTCCTTGCACAACCAAAAGAAAGACAACAACAAATTTAAAAAGAGAAAACAACCAGAACTGACAGAAAAATGAACTGTATGGAAGTCCGACGACCAAGGAATTAAAGAAGACACATTCATTCAGACCAGCAGGAGGGGCAGAAATAGGCAGCCGGGTGGAAAGGACTCTGGCAAGGTGACCTATTGAAGACTGGGTGGTCCCACTTTCATATGCAGATAAACTGGGAGGAACAACTGGGGAGAGAGCTAGACCACACAACCCAGGGCTCCAGCGCAGGGAAATAAAGCCACAAAGCCTCTGATTGAAAACACCTGTGGGGGGTTGAGACAGAGGGAGAAACTCCCAGCCTCACAGGAGAGTTCACTGGAGAGACCCACAGGGTCCTAGAATGTACACAAACCTACCCAACCAGGAATCAGCACCAGAAGGGCCCAATTTGATTGTGGGAAGTGGGGAAAGTGACTGAAAACCAGCAGAGAGTGGAGCAAATGGCATTGTCCCCTCTCAGACCCCTCCCCCACATACAGCATCACAACCCAGTGACCTGGGTTGCCCTGCCCTGGTGAACACTAAGGCTCTGCCCCTTACTATGTAACAGGCAAGGTGAGAGAAAAAAAAAGAATAGTGTGAGGGGGGGCTGGACTGGGAGTAAAAAAAGGAGAAAACTGTATTTGAACAATGATTAAAATAAAATTGAAAAAAGAACAAATGAAAGAACAGATCAAAGTTTCAGAAAAAATACAACTAAGCGACGAAGAGCTAGCCAACCTATCAGACACACGGTTCAAAACACTGGTAATCAGGATGCTCACAGAATGGGGCAAATATGGTCACAAAATAGAGGAAAAAGTGAAGGCTATGCAAAGTGAAATAAAGGAAAATGCACAGGGAACCAACAGTGACAAAAAGGAAACTGGGACTCAAATCAATGGTTTGGACCAGGAGGAAAAAAGAAACATTCAACCAGAATGGAATGAAGGAACAAGAATTCAAAAAAATGAGGAGAGGCTTAGGAACATTCAAGACTTGTTTAAATGTTTCAACATCTGAATCATAGAGGTACCAGAAGGTGAAGAGGAAGACCAAGAAATTGAAAACTTATTTGAACAAATAATGAAGGAGAACTTCCCCAATCTGGAAAAGGAGACAGACTTCCAGGAAGTCCAGGAAGCTCAGAGAGTCCCAAAGAAGTTGGACCCAAAAAGGAACACACCAAGGCACATCATAATTACATTACCCAAGAATAAAAGTAAGTAGAGAATCTTAAAAGTAGCAAAAGAAAAGGAGACAGTTACCTACAAAGGAGTACCCCTCAGACTGTCAGCTGATTTCTCAAAAGAAATCTTGCAGGCAAGAAGAGGCTGGAAAGAAGTACTCCAAGTCATGAAAGGCAAGGACCTACATCCAAGATTACTCTATCCAGCAAAGCTATCATTTAGAATGGAAGATCAGATAAAATGCTCCTCAGATAAGGTCAACTTAAAGGAGTTCATCATCACCCTTACTATATGAAATATTAAAGAGACTTACCTAAGAAAAAGAAGATAAAAAATATGAACAGTAAAATGACAACAAACTCACAGTAATTAACAACCACACCTAAAACAAAAACAAAAACAAAGTAAGCAAACAACTAGAACAAGAACAGAATCACAGAAATGGAGATCACAAGGGGGGTTATGAGTGGGGGAGTGGGAGGGGTAGAGAGGTGGGGAGGTACAGAGAATAAGTAGCATAAATGGTAGATAGAAAATAGACAGGGGGAAGTTTAGAATAACATAGGAAATGTAGAGCCAAAGAACTTAAGTGTATGACCCATGGACATGAACTAAAGCAGGGAAATGTGGGTGGGAGGGGGCATGCAGGGCAGAGGGGAATAAAGGGGGAAAGTGGGACAACTGTAATAGCATAATCAATAAAATATATTTAATTAAAAAAAGAACTGGCTTGATACAGTTTCCCTAGGCTTCAAAGTTTTGATTGCAAAGGTCAATGATCAGGGCAGATTTCTGTCATATTTGTTTCTAGGCACAAGTAATACAAATGGGAAAGATAATACGAACAAGTAATGCTTGAAAAGTTAGACACAAAGCAGGTTTGTCTACAGAGAAGGCCTAATGTCTATAGCATGACCGGGCTCATGTCCTTTTTACTGTGAATTTGGACTCTCTTTAGATTATTTTTTAAGGTCTTTTCATACTCTAGAACGAAAATACTGTTGTACTACAAAAACTATGCGAATTTTTTTTTTTAACCTGCTGTAGGATAGCCCATTCAAACAAAGGGATCACAGTGTTTAAGGTCTCAGTGAGAGGTCTAACAATCCCCATCCCATTTTTACTTTGAGCTCATTTCCCAAAGTGGGCCTCTGCAATCACTGTGTTTGCTATGCATATGGCACACAGTGCTTTTAACCTGTGAAGATTCTCCTTTTGTAAGATACTCCTCCCCCAGTAGAGTATTACCATAGTGTGCTGTATACCTTCTTTCCCTTCCACAGTCACCTTTCACAGGTGCAAAGGCTTTGACAGTCATTAAGAGGTAAATCCACAATTGTTTACTACACAACCAGCCACACCAAAGCTCATTTCCAAGCACCAAGAGAAAAAAAAGCTAACTTAACCAAAGGTGTGCTAATTACATTTTAAAATTGTGGTAAAGTGCACATAAAATTTACCATCCTACTGATTTTTAGGTGTACAGTTAAGCATATTCACATTGTTTTGCAACCAATCTCCAGAAATTTTTCATCTTGGAAAGTAAAACTATACTCATTTAGTAAAAACTCTCCATTCCCCCTCCTTCAAGCCCCAGGAAACCACTGTTCTTACTTTCTGTTTTTATGAGTTTGACTACTACATATTTTGTTATGTACAATGTGTACATTTTTGCCCAAATTTCTGAGGGAAAAATAAGGGTGTGCATTATACATGGGTAGTACTAATTCTATATATAAATGTATTTTGTAATTATTTGTTACATTAAATTTCTTGTACCATATGTTTGAAAATAAATGCTACAGTTCCTTTATAATACAAAAAACAAGCATCTAAGTATAAATAAATACATAATTGAAGTAAAAAATTAAAACAAAAGAGTTTTTTTCCCTGAAAGTTTGGGCCAAAAACATGGGTGCACATTATACACGGCAGAATGCAGTAGATACTCATACTCATGGTCATATCCTTTATGAGTGAAATCATGCAATATTTGTCTTTTTGTGACTGGCTTATTTTACTTAGCATAATGTCCTTTAGTTCATCCCGAGATATAGCATGTTTCAGAATTTCCTTCCTTTTTAAGGCTGAA